GAAGAAGACTGATCTTGCAGAGGCCTACAGTTGGTTCCCAGCACCCGTGCTGGGCAGCTCACAAGACTGGACGCCCTCTTCTGGCTTCCATAGGCACTGCACCCTATATGCATGATTTAAGAAAAAAGATACTGGTCAACCGCTTTTATGCTAATAGCTCCTCTGCCCTGAGAATGAGCACTGGGACAAGTCATTCATGATTCTGTGACCAGGATCTACTTTGTAGAACCTGGACAGGGTTCTCACAGGAAGGGGCAGGAAGCTCTCCATGGGGAATTTAAGAGCAGACCCTTTGATCTGAGCAGCTAGTGAGCACTTATTCTTTACCTAATAAAGGAGCAGCATACAGCCCTGCCTTTACTCCCAGCACCTGAGGTGGAGGCAGGAGGATCCCGAGTTTGAGGCCAACCTGAACTTCTGTTCTCGAAGGGTGTACTTGTTGCCTGGTTCTATTCCAGGTTGCTGATCATCTGATCTCGGACTCACAAGACACCACCTGTCACGTCTGTTGCTGTCATCCCGCACCATCAGATGAGGAGGGGTGCAGAGGACAGAAGGAAGAAACCCCTGCCCCCATTGTCAGTCTGCAAAGGAGTCAGGGATAAGAAGGGTGTAGATGCTTCTCCTTTGGTGGCTGATGAAATCTAAACTTGTCGCATATCATAGACTTCACAGAAGCTTGGGAGGTGACAGCTGGGAGAAGAAGGGAGCACTCCCCTTGGGTGACGTGACCTCCACCTGGCCGTGAGGAAGCTGTTCAGACTCCCCCAAGCTAGGCTTCTTTCCCCCCACCCCCAGGAGGACACACCAGGGGTCCGGCTGCTCTTGGCCAGGTGACAGCCTTTCCTCCTGAGCTTGTTCCCGAGTCAGGACAGGGTACCTGGTCCCAGCCAGCTGTTAGGAAGCTGCTCAGACCTAGCATCAGAGACCAGGCTGGGGTCCAGGACAAAGACAATGCGGCCTTGGCTTGGAGCATCAGAAGAGGTATGGCTCCAAGGTCAGGGACTCTCTTTATAGAAAACAACCTGATCCACCCCAGAGAAGCTGAAATGGGTGAGTCTCCATCACCTGGAACCAAGATGTGAATGGGGTAGGGGCTCTTGTCTTTAGCTCTACTTCAGACCCAAGTCCTCTTCTTGTGAGTCCCATTTTGGATCCTTTCTTCATCTCCGTCCCCCCATGCAATACACCCCTCACTTTCTCCACCCACCCCACCCACACGTTTGTAGACAACGTGACTGAAAGTCAACTGAGCTGGTTTGCTGGGGTTTTAGGGAAACTTTCAAGGAGGCTGACATTGAAAAGATGAACTTTTTATCCCCCCCTCCCCACTTCCTCCTGCCAATGCAAAGATGATGCCTGGAGCTTCAGCAGCCTTCTTGAAACTCTAAGACAAAATGAAGAAAGGAAGCCGGGACTACGGATGACGGAGCTGGACAGCGGATGAACCAACTGCCTTGTTGATTCTCCTTGGACAAATCCCTTCCTGCCTGAGAACAGTAAAGATGGGAGAACAGAGCCCTTTAGCTGCGTGAGAGCAAGCAAGCTTGGCTCCCTGTTATATGTTCCTTATGTCCAGCTTAATAAATGTTCTTTATGTCCAGCTGAATCGACAGGTGCCCATGCGGCCCCCGAACTCTCAGCAAATGACTCATACAATGAGAAGATACACATTCTGCCATCACTAACAAAACCGCTCTGTTTTAAAATGATATATTATCCAAGGGCAGAGTGGCAGGAAAGTCCCACCTCTCCTGTCCCAGAAGTCCTTCTTTGCATGCATAAGTCTGGAAAGCGAAAGACAAGCAGGCAGACCAGGCTAGGTAAGACATTGTCATCAGCTCCTCCGGCTACGCTAAAGACAACTGGCTGAATCCTATGAGACCAGCTGATCATTGACCCCCATCTCCTTCCTGTGAGCCAGCTTCCTTCAAACTCACTGCCTTTTCTGTGAACACCACCTTTGATCCACCCAGAACCTGTGGGGAGCCCTGCCCTTGACACACCCCTAAATCTTAGCAATGATGCCCTGAGGCTCTTGGCATAAGAGCAGCTTATGAGGACCCACGAGCCCCACAATCCTCTAGCATTAAACGTGGCACACAGGATAGACAGAGCATAAAGAGACTGCCACCATGACAGTACAAAGACCAAAATGATGCTGGCCACTTCTGGCCCCTGAGAGTGGGCATTGGGGTGTGGCTTTTGAGACATGGCATAAATCCAAAGCCTCCTTGGCTTTGGTAAAGAGAGGCTGCTCTGTGCTCTGGTCTGGGTTCTCGGTGTAGCTTACTTAGTGTTTTCACTACAACGCCTCTCCCGTTCATGATGATCTTCAAGTAGCACGAATCTAGAGGAGCTAAAGGACAGTTGCCACTACTTCAGCCAGGAGGTGTCAGGGCCAAATCCAGCTGTGCCACTACTGGCAGGCCCATGCCTGGTGAGCCTGGGGTGTCTGGCCCTTGGCCCAGCTGGCTTCATTGGCACAGGATGCCCTCCTGGCTGCCCGATTGTGCCCTTATCCCTGTGCTGAGTGGGCGACTGGCTCCCTGGCAGCTGCTGCGTGGACTATCCACTGAGGCAGGGAGTAAGGCGAGTGGCTGTCTCCTGTCCATGTCCTGGAGGTTGTTATGGTGTTAAATGGAGGGTACACACCGAATAAAATGGGAACTGTCCTTTGTAATGACATTGACAATAACGCCGATAATGACAATGATAATAATAATGCTAATGGTAATACCTAGAACCCAAGGTTTCCTGAGAGGACCAAGGAGCACTGCCCTTTTGCTTGCTAAGTGAGACCATGGTGAATGAAGAGCCCATCATGGACTGAGGCCTCGGGAGAGACCTTGCTTTAAGGACAAGATCCATTCTTAATAGAATACCACAAGGCAGTGGGGCCCAGGCCGGATGAAAGCGGCTAGTCACATCTCTGTGGAGATGATTGTCCTGGTAACAGTATATCCTGGCAACCGGTATATGCATCCCAGAATCTTCCCAAGGCTCACACCCATGAGATTCTAATTCTTGCTTCACAGTGAAGAAGGCTGGACACCAGGGGGCTTCAACATCTCAACAGCACCGCCGCCAGAATCAGACTCAGAGTTGATGTGGATGATATAAAAAGCCCTGCACAAAAGGTCATAGAGCACGGAACCCACCATGATGGAGACCAGAGGTAGACAAGGCCACAAACCACAGGCTAGTTCCAGGCTGAGCACACCATGACAGCAGGATTCTGGGCAACTTGCACTGTCATGAAGTTAGGAGCACTTTCTGTTTGCAGTTAGACGTCCCTTCCGAGCGTGGTCTCAATCCCTGCCATGGAGTGAGCCCCTGTGGCTCCTGCCTGCAGCAACCCTCAGCTCAGTGTGGCAAGTGGAAGCCATAACAAAGTCACGCGCCGTGTGTGTTGTATGTGTGCTCACATGTGTGAACGCAGACCTGCACATGCCATGGTACATGCATGCAGAGGTCAGAGGACAACCACACTAGTTATCACCCTTTGCCTTGCTTGAGACGGCATGTCTTGCTTGCAGCCCTGCATGCCAGGCTCTGCCCCCTATCCGGCCATGAGTACTGGGATGACAGACCCTGCTGCAGTCTTCCCTGCAATCTTCAATCTTGTCAGCCTCGTTCTGTGGCCTCGGGGTGTGGCCCCCGGGAGCTGGGAACCACCCGCGATTATCCAAACACAGATAAACAGTCTTCAAGTGGACTCACAGAACTAGCTGGGAAAATTCAAACCCGACATGGACCTGCGAAGCCTCCAGCAGCAACCTCAGTGGTGCAGCATGCTTGTTGCAGAAGCCAATTTCAAAGTTCTGCTACCTGAGTCTCCCAACCAACACTGGATCACCCTGGTCCTTCCTAAACACCAGAGTTTTCACTTAACCAATTCTGTGCTCAACCAGGGGCAGGACCTGAAACCATAGCCAGCAGCTCAAGGGCATGCTGAGAAAGCCAAACACAGAGTTCCAGACACAGGAACGGAGCCCTCGGTCCGTCGAGGGATCTCTCAAGCGCAGCGCAGGAGAAAGCTAAGAGTGTGTGTGACGAACCTCTTTACAGAGGGGCAGTCAATGCTATTTCCACCAAAGACCAAGTTCCTTCCTGGGCCAGGCCAGCCAGCCCGTGTTTTGCTCAGGGCGGATGGAGCTGCTCTCAGAGCTCATTCAGTCAGGATGCTGACTCATTCTTAACCCGGGAAGCCCCACACACCCCAGTGAGTTGCTCAGAACAGGCTCCTGTCTTCCCTGCAGCCTGCCTGCTATGCCACTTTTAAAGCAAGGGACCATTTTTCAGATTTGCTTAAGAAGCGTCCCAGCAGTTACAGTAACTGTTACTTGACAGTAAAGTTAAGCTCATAAGAACAGTAACTCGGGCCACTTCCTTCCCCTGTATTCAACCATCCCCCTCCTGCTGGTTCCCAGCCTGTGGCTTTCTTTCTTTCCAGCATGATTTTCCGCCTGGAGAATTAAGGGAATGGAAAGGACATAAATACAGTCCTGAAGCCATTCACACATGTTCGGAGAAAAGCCAAGATTCTGCCTCGCTGCCATATTTCTCGTCCTGCAGCTGGACAGCTCAGATCAGGCTACTTAGGTCAGTGGCCAGAAGCCTCTTCCTTCCTACTTCTTAGGAGCGGATGCTAGTCCAACCTCAGTGCCCAGTGAGCATAGACTCACCCACCTCCATCTCTGGCCTTCTTTGGTTCCTGGCTAGGAGTCCATCTGAGGTGGCTCCTTCCCAGGCAGGCATTGTCACTACGTCTCACGCTCTCTTCTGAGGCAGCACTACACACAGCCAGCACCCACGATGCACAGCTAAGAAACTCCCCAGAGTCCCATAGACACAGCGGAGGTGGGGTGGAGGCAGCGGGAGCCGCTTTTCTGACATCACAGACCTTCAAAGTCTGGGAGAAGCAGTGTCTACCCCAGGATGCCGCAGCTGTCACAGCCCTGAGGCGCACACAGGCGTCATTGACAGAATATACTCACCGGGGAGAAGCTGATGAATGGCTCCACTCCCAGCCACTGTGCTGTGAAGATCCCAAGACGTGCTCAGCTTGCCTGGAAAGTCACTTTGAAACTTAGAAAGCAGCCACTGTAAAGTCACTGAGTCCCCTCCATTCTCAGAGTTGTCCACATGATTAAGAAAAAAAAAAAAAGACAAGAAAAAGAAAAAGGCGCACACCTCAGCCTTCATTGCCACTGGAACCAGATGACTCATGCTGACTCAGAACCACCACTTCCTCTCCCGACATTCTCTTCATACTTGTGAGCCGGGCTGGTCCGATTCCCAGGGTCTCTACCACCCTTCCGGAAAGAGCGACTTCCCAGACCCAGGCAGAGAGAGCCTCCAGCTCGTAGCCAGGCGTCACTGTCACTGGGGAAGAAATGCTTTGTTTAGCAGACTTGGGACATCGGAGGATAAAAGGCAGAGCTCTCACGTGTAATTGAGTGTCAGATGCTCATGGATACTGAAACGCAGCCCACGGAAGAGGCAAGAATCCATCTTTGCCATGGTGTTAAGGCATCTGGGTTTGCTTTGCCCTGATAACACCCATTTCCGTTCATGCTTTCTTCTGCACATAGCCCTGATCTAAAATCATTGTCTGTTCTGAACGGCTTGTGAGAAGCGTGTGTAGACCTCAGTTACTTGGTGTTCAAGGATAGGCTAGATCACAAGAGCAAAAGAACCAAGGAATGAAATCAAAGCCATGGCTCTCTAACTTTTAAAATCTACTGGACGTTTCTGTACAAGAACCAAAAGCCCGCCTCCCGCCTCCGTGTCTGAGTTTTCTTTTGAATGATGCAGAGGGCGGGGCTGTCTTCCGCAGCTTCAAGCATTTTTAAATTACGAGAAGTACCCCAGAGAAAGCGGAATCCACGTACCACTGAGCAGTCTCTGGTGAGGCCAGGTAGGGTTGTGGATATCTCTAGGCTCAGTTCTTCCTCAAAACATGTGCTCTTAAAAGTAAGGTTTTCCTGAATTAAAAAATATATATATATAAAGCATCGGTCTCATTTTGAACCATGCACTGTGGCTTATCAGAGAATTCTTTTTTTGGGGGGCAGGGGGTTTGAGACAGGGTTTCTCTGTGGGTTTTTTGTTGTTGTTGTTGTTTTGGAGCCTGTCCTGGAACTAGCTCTTGTAGACCAGGCTGGTCTCGAACTCACAGAGATCCACCTGCTTCTGCCTCCTGAGTGCTGGGATTAAAGGCGTGCGCCACCACCGCCTGGCTCAGAGAATTCTTATAAAGAACACAGCATATATGTGGGCCAGAGACTCTCTTAAAGATGCATTTTTATTTTATGTGCATTGGTGTTTTGCCTGCACAGATGCCTGCAACAGAGGATGTTGGATCCCCTGAAACTGGAGTTACAGACAGTTGTGAACTCCCATGTGGGTGCTGGGAATTGAACCTGGATCCTCTGGAAGAATAGTCAGTGCTCTTAACTGCTGAGCCATCTCTCTAGCCCCTGGAGATTCTCTTAGACACCTGCAGGTGAGGGAAGGAGAGGGGATTTGGTGGCACAGAGGTAGGAGTAGAAATCTATCCATAGCCAAGGCAGTGTTTCTCAATCTGGGAATTGAGATCCCTCTGGGGGGCTCAAAGAGCCCTTTCACAGTGGCCACCTTAGACCACCAGAAAACAGATATCTCCATTACTATTCCTAACAGTGGCAACAATCACAGTTATGAAACAGCAGTGAAGTAATTTTATGGCTGGGGATCACCACGACTAGAGGAACTGTATTAAAGCGTCGTGGCATTGGGAAGGTTGAGAGCCACCAGCCTGAGGGGCTGGACTACTTGTCCTTGGAAATAACCTGCAAGTAGAGTTTCCTCCAAAGCACCCAGGACTTCGGGGATGTTGAAAGAGACAATCTGGTATAGTTTGCCCAGACTTCTGAAAATTACTAAATGAGAGAAGAGGTGATTTCAGTACAAAACACTCCCTTTGGGTAATCAATTCTACATCCTTCGAAGACCAGTACACTTGGTCCATTTGCAAAATCCAGACAACAATATTTCCTTTTAGGATTGTATGAAAACTAAAAGCTAACTGCAGGACCGACAAGTTAGTGAGCATCTCTGCAGGCCAAAGCTGCTATCGGATGGTATGTGTGGTTTATTGTTTGAAAGTTTTCCTACCGGTCTAGTAGTTGAGTCACAGGCCACAATCAAGAGTCTAGAATTCAGACAGATGAATCGCACCCTAAATATGTAACAGCTTAAAAAAATCCAGGGCCCTTGATAAAAATGTATGCTCATAAGCTGTTACTTAACAACGCAAACCATGATGAAGACAAAGACAGAGAGCGAAGAACAGGACGTCTGGAGGTCAACCGTTCACATATATTCAACAAATGGGCTCCAGATGCCAGGCTCTGATGTGGCCATGGGAAACAGCAGGAAAAAAACAAAAGCAAGTTCCCTGCTCTCAGGAAGCTTATTCTCAAGGGATGGGACAGAAAATAATCACACAGGAAGAACGCAAGACTGTGACATAAACTATATGAAGAATTTCTAGCAGTAAAGTGCAAAGTCCTTGACGTGGGTGGGCTGTGGAGATGGGGATGGGTTGGGGAAGGAGGGAGGAAAGGGGCTGGGAGTCTGTGCCTGGTGTAATAAGAAAGCAGGGGGCAGGGCGGGGTGGATTAACCAAGAGAGTGGCCGGTCTGGTTGGGATTTTCCAAGGACAGCTCTTGCTGGAAGTGGAGCACCAGGGAGTGCAGTCAGCCCCACTCTGGTCTGGTGATAGCGATGTGGTCCCAGCAGAGGTGTGGGATGGGTTGGGTAGGGCAATGGTAGACACAGACATTAGAATTCTGGGACTTCTGGGTTGAGCCGTAAAGGGGTGCCACCTACTAAGATGGGCAGAGACCGTCGCAGTGAGGAAGAAATCCCAGGCACGCTCCCTGTTCTAGCTACTGTTTGGCCGTGCCTAAAAGACGGCCCGTGGAAATGCTCGTAAATATGTCGGCTGACATTAAGTGCTGGGGCTGGGAGATGGCCTGGGTTCAAAACAGGCTGGACAGGTAATGATGGAGCAGGAACCAAAGGCAAGATGCACAGAGAGGAGAGGGGAGAGATAAGCAAGGCGGTTCGGACTCTTGGTCAGTGAGCCTGGAGAGAACCGAGAAAACCAGGGCTCAGAGCCAAGGGCTGGAGGTTTCAGGAAAGCAAGGAGAGGCCAGCTGGCCAGGACTGCTGGGAGTTCCTGTCAGACGGAAGCAGGGCAGGGCATGTTGGCCAGGGCACAGGAGGCCATGGTGACCAGGTACCTGGCAGCCTCTGTGACCCAGACAAAGCCTGGCAGCCAGGGCTGGCAAAGGAACTCAGCCAAAGGAGTGGGAGCCAGATTCAAAGGCAGCGCCCTCCAAAAGGGCACCAAGGAAACGGATACATGACTCTCAGAGGCCTCAGTTAGAACAGTGATATCAATTAAATGGCAGAAGCTGGGCAGGGTAGTGAATGCCTATAGCCCCATTACTCAGGAGAGGAAGGCAAGAGGATTGTGAGTTCAAGCACAGCCTAGACTACATAGCGAGACTCTTGTCTTCATCAAACACCGCATCCCTGGATTTAGATGCTGTGGCGGCTACCTGTGTCTGTGTGTAACCAGGGCTCCTATTGCCCTGTGGATGGAGAAGATAGAATGTGTGGCTTTAGGTGCTCAATAGCAACCAGGACACCACCCACGGGGCAGTGTTCTGGCTTTCCTTCAATCCTACGGACACCAGAGCTACGGTCCTAGGTCATGTTCGGATCAGTCGTCTCTGATTCGGTGAAGGCAGGCGGTACTTTTGAAATGTAACAGGAAAAATGTCAAGGCAGCTGTAATTCTGATTTGGAACAGATGGAAGAGCATACAAATGGCTTCTTTCTGCTATAAGCAATATCTGATAACACCCAATGTCACTTCCTATGATATGATGTAAGTACTAAGTTTCATAGACTAGCATGTCAACGAAAAAAGTAAAACTATCTAAAACCTGCCTGGTCTGATGCAGACTGCCATGAGGAAGGGTGGAGCCTAGCCTCTGCTATACCATCTTGATTGATGGACAAGTCATTTTGTTATTAGCAACATTCGCTTCTTAATTTTCCATTCTCATCGTTCACAAGGCCCCTCGTGTCTTCCTCAAACACCCTGTGTAGATAAACCTCCCCCAGGAGTTCTGCCTCGGCTTTGACTGGACTGAGAAGAAATCACACTTCCCGAGAGCGGCTGGCAGGTGGCTGGATTTCATCCAGTGGGAACTTGCCAGAGTGCATTCATGTTCACCGCCAGCGCTTTCAGTGGAAAACAGCGAGTTTGGGATCTTATCTGAGGCTGTTGACTGCAGGCCCGAGAACAGGTTCCCAGAGGAGCACTGTGGTCCCTGAGGGTCACCCCATCCCTCCCCGACCCACCCCCTGCCTTCCAGGCACAGAAGCCTCCATTCATCCTTCCTGCTCACCAGCCAGGCTCTGCCGCCTTCTCTGAACCACTTCTTTCGCTTTTGAGGCGACACCAAGCCACAGCTCAGCCAGACCATTCTCTGGTCTTCACATCTGCATGGCCTCATGAGGCCAGGTGGGGTGGAAGTGAAGGGGGTCGTCCTTGAGTCTAACAGACCAGGGTTTAGAGCTGGCCTCCCAACTCAGTGGCTTTGAAGACATGCCTGTCCTGAGGTTTGATGCCCACACTTATAAACTGTGGAAAGTCACAGTCCTAAGAATGCCCTCAAATGCAGCCTTTGGCAGGGATTAAATGAGGGGGGAGGGACTTAATGTAGAGTGGCTGGAACGCGGCTCTACCAGCCAAAGCAGGTCGTTATTGTGAATGTGTGAAACTTTGGTCCATACCACCCCTTCCTGGGTACCTCCCCTTCCTGTCTCCCTCCTGTACCCGTCACTCTCAACCACCTATTCTTAGGTCGGCCTGCCCATGTGGGAACAAAAGCAGTGGTAGCTTAGGTTAGAGAGCAGTCTGACATCGGCTGTGTGGGCTGGCGGGGCAGCCCCAACTATCACTAGGATATCAGGCACTTGGGGTTCTGAGCTGCCATCTGGAACTTGGCTTTCTTTAGATGACTCCACAGACCAAAATGGTTGCTGAAAGCCCGCAAATCTGTATTCTTCATCTTGACAGTAGGAGGAGTTAAGGTCTGTAGTCTCTCTATTAGGAGAGAAAGAAGAAGGAAGGGAGGACCAGCCCCCACCCCCACCCCCCGCAACAAAAACAATTGTGTAACACAACTCCTGTCCTCACCACCATGGAGCTTAGGTGAAGCCACTACTGGGTAAATTTCTCCATGTCCCGAAGCAGGTCTCGCGGTCTCTTCTAGTTGCTAGATGTAGTTTGTCTCTGGGTGATATATTAGTAATAGCTTTTAGGAAAGCAGGGCAAAGCGAAAGTGTATCCATTCCTAACCAGCAGCATCGGCCATGGCCTGGGACACAGGGTAGCCATCAGTGCCCTTCCGTCGGATCTGATGTAGGACACCGTGAAAGAGGTGATCCATGTCCCGTATGGGCCACAGACGGAGGGACACAGTCACACCGCGACGCAGAACACAGCGGCACCAGTCGAGGGAGGCAAAGAGCAAGCCCAGGAAGGAGGCTGCCCTGGGGCTCTGACTAGGCAGATCCCTAGTCACCTCTTGACCCAAGCACGTTTACGTGGAGTCTCATTGGTGCTGACTCAACGCCCATGATGCCAGCTGCGTGTTGT